TGGATTGAACCCAAGGCTTTCCATTATTACCCACTGAGCTCTACCCCAGCCCTCTTTTTTCACTTGGTATCCTTTGAAGCACACAATGTTTTACTGATGATAAGGTCCAGTTTATCTTTTTATTTTTTCTCCCCCCTTTGGTTGATTGTTCTTTTGGTGTTATATCTAAGAAAACATTGCCTGACCCAAGGTCACAAAAATATTTTCTTCTAAATGTGTTATAGTTCACTTTTATGAGAAGTGTAAGTTGAAGGTCTGTATCTAAATTTTTGCTTTTGCATATGGATGTCCAGCTGTTCAGGCACAATTTGTTGAAAACATGATTCTTCACTGAATTGGATCAATGAAAATCAAATGGCCTTCAGAGGTTATTTCTGGATTTCAGTTCTCTTCTAGTACCACATAATCTAGCTTACTGTACTTCTGATGTTTTAAATCAGGAAGTGTATGTCTTCAATTTTGTTATTTTCTAGATTGTTTTGGCTATTCCAAGCTCATTAAATTTCCCATATGAATGTTAGGATCAGCTTGTAATTTCTGCAAAAAAAGGCAGCTACACAATGTTAAATCTTCCAATTCAAATAAAAGAGAAAGTTTATTGTAGTGTTCTGGGGAGTATGATAACATAATAAATTGAATTAGAAGAGGTCATGGGCAGAATGGAAATATTACAGCCAAGTTGAGTACATTTGTGTAACTTCTTAAAATTTTTGTATTTATGTTGACTTTTCTCTAATGGGTATTGTTTTATTCTCAGTGGATTACCATTTATTCCATATCTGGATAATTTGCCAAACTTCAATAGATCAGTTGATGGACCAATCAGGCTGCCAATTGTGGATAAGTACAAGGTACCCAAAATTTAAAGAAATTGGATTTTGTGGGAGGCAGAATCATTGTTTTGTGTTTATTTCTAATTAGGAAACAATCTTATTAATGATATAATATCTTTTTTTCATGGTACATATGGTATACCATATATATTATGTATGTAGACCATGATTTGTTTTGAGACAGGGCCTCGCTAAGTTTCTGAAGCTAGTCTTGAACTTGCAATCTTCCTGCCTTGGGCCCAGTTCACTGGGATTATAGGTGTGCACCACCATGCCTGGTCAGTGATCACTTCTTAGCAATAAATTCATCACAGATGGGCTTAAAGTATTCCCACGTTAAAGTTGATGGATATTGATACACAGCCTTGTGAAAATATCATGTTAATTTATAATATCACTAGCAGCATATGAGTGCTAGTTTTATCTTAGCCTCACCAATCCAGGTGTTAGTCTTTGGTTTGGCTTTTTGTTTTTCTGTTTTTACTTGTTAAAATAAATAAGCTGGGGATTGAATCCAAGGCCTTTTGCATGTAAGGCTAGCACTCTACCAACTGAGCTATATCCCTAGCCCACAACCTTAATTTTTAAAAGTTTTACAGTAACAATGTGATTTTGTCAATTTTGTTCACCAGTACCTCCCATTTCCCTTCCATCCTCCTTCTCCCTAGTCCCCTTCCTCTACTCTCCTAGATCTGCCCCACCCCCTTTTGTCTCTCTAGTTTCCACATGAGAGAAAACATGACTTTGACTTTCTGAATTTGGCTTATTTCATTTAATATATCGATCTCGGGTTCTGTCTTCCATTCTAATGTTCTTGAACAACTATTGTTTTTCCAAATTTATACAAGAGGAAACAGGCTTAGATCAGGAGAACCTGAAATTGTACAAACAATTCATATCTTCCCTCTTAATGATATTTGCTGTCTTCTGCACCATGCTTCGTTTTTAAATTTTAAGCATACTTAATAATTAATATAATCATACATATGCTTATGACACAGTTATTACAGAGCATTTGTCCCCCTCCCCATGTTTAAGGATAATCCTAAACATTCTACTCCTTTATTATTGGTGCATTTTTAATTACACATAATAGTGGAATTCCTGGTTACATATTTGTACGTGCACACAATACCATTCTACTTTAAGCTAATGATTTTATAAGAAAGTACTATAGAATTTCACTTTGAGCTTGTCAACTGCTGTAGAGCGGCAATAAAGGTCTGAAACATGATTTTTAATTTTATTATCTTATTTGAACAGGATATGGGCACTGTGGTCCTGGGAAAGCTGGAATCAGGATCTATTTGTAAAGGCCAGCAACTTGTGATGATGCCAAATAAGGTAAGAGTTAGTAATGCTCTTTGCTGTTTAGATTTTCTATTGAAAATGTTAGCAAGGAGGCGGAACATCATGGTGGGAGAGGGTGGCAGAAAGAAGCATCTCACAGACTCTACTTGCCAGATACAATATACACTAAAGCCACACCCTTAATTCCCACCTCCTCCTGTCACACCCTACCACTTTAGTTAATTCCATCAGGGATTAACTCACTGATTAGGCTAAAACTATAACCCAATCATTTTCAAACTTAACTTTAAAATAATGATTATGTCTTACCAATGCCAAGTGTAAACTTGTAGAAAAACTATTTAGAAAGGTATTTCTGTTGTTCATTTGAGAAATGGAGGGTTCAGTATTAACATGTTAGAGCTAAAAGATATAGCATGAAGTGCCCCATGAAGACCATCATCGCTACTGTCTTTATAGGCAAGTAAATAGAGATTTGTGCACTTAAGTGACTTCCTTAACATTGAGGAAGCCAAGGAAGAAAACAGGTTTAATTATGATCTAGTAAGCTTTCTCGTTTTAAATATTATAAAATAATATCTCCAATCTTAATTTGTTTTGACCAGAGAATTTACCTTTATCCTAAATGGGTTTTTTTTTTTAATTCCTCCTGCCTTATTGTAAATTTTTTTCTGTTGATGTTTCATTAAAACGTGGCAATATCACTATGAAATATTATTAAATATTTCTGACGGCTCATCTGCTGATATTTGCAGATGACCTGTTGCTAAAACACTAACTGTTTTCAAGAGAGAGGGCTTCTGTAACACCTTCAGAGATATTGCTTGGGTGGGAATATTGACTTGAATCATCAGAACTTCCAAATAGAGATTTTTTTTTAATATTTATTTTTCAATTGTAGTTGGACAATACCTTTATTTTATTGCACCATCGAACCCAGCGCCTCACAGGTGCCAAGTGCTCTTCCGCTGAGCAACAGCCCCCCAAATAGAGAATTTTAATAGATTTAATTGAAGATTTTCTTTTTACCATGCTCATTCCAGGGTCTGTGAATTAGAAAAGGTGTCTATCCATTGCCCAAGTTTAAGTATCATTGGCACCTTACAAATTGTACTTTAGGGTTTCTATTTTAAGCCTACATTTCCTAACATGATCATCACTGCAACTCCAGGCTGACACTGAAAGAAAATAATTGTTGATTTGAGTTTTTGCTCAATTTGGTCTGTAGCACTATCACAAAAGTCAGGGGAACACATAAAATGTATCACCAGTAACAGTATATTAAGAATATTGTGCAACAACTACCATTACTGTCTAGTTCCTTTCCCAAAAGGAAATCCTATATTCATTAAACAGTTATGTGCTTTTCAAGCTTAGTTGTTGCAGCAGTAACTTTCGAGAAGTACTGTTTTAATCAGCTTTTTTGCTGCTGTGATGACTAAAGGACCCAACCAGCACAGTTATAGGACAGGGGGCTGGGATATAGCTCAGTAGGTAGAGTGCTCGCCTCACACACACAAGGCCCTGGGTTCAGTCCCCAGCACCACCAAGGAAGAGTTTATTTGAGGGCTCACAGTTTCAGAGATTTTAGTCCATAGAAGGCCGGCTCCATTCCTCAGGGCTTCAGGGTGAGGGGGAACATCATGGTGGGAGAGTGGTAGAGAGAAACAGCTCACTTCAGGGTGATCAGGAAGCACAGACTCTGCTTGCCAGATACAGATGTATGCACTAAAGCCACACCCTTAATTCCCACCTCCTCCAGTCACACCCTGCCACTTTAGTTAATTCCATCAGGGGATTAACTCACTGATTGGGCTGAAACTATAACCCAATCATTTCTCTCCAAAACTTCCTACATTGACTCACATGTGAGCTTTCAAGGGACACCACATCTAAACCATAGCAGGTACACACTTCAGGTATTTTGTAGTTGTTAGGTCATGGAAGGTAGATCTATTAAGTCCTAGAGTGCCCCAGGAATAAAATTTTACATCCATAAAGTCAAAAGTCAGATATTAAATTTCGTGTTTTGGTTTTTAAAAAGTGAAAAAAAAATGCTAGTTTGTACTCTGTTCTACTTGGAAATTATTAGAATGTGATATTTAGAAGATCACAGGTTAGAGAGTAGGGTAGTTCAGTGGTAAAGGGCTTGCCTAGCATTTTGAGGCCCTAGGATCAATCCCTATTATTGAAGACGGAAAAACTTTCACTGGCAGCTGTACATCTAGAATGAGATATCATATTTACTGTCTTTGCTGCAAGATTAGGATGCATGGTATATTTAATGAATATATATTAATGTGGCGATCATGAGGTGAAATTGGCATTCTTGTGGTCTACAATGCAGTGAATGTCATAAAACCTTTCTTGATTTATCTTAAAGCACAACGTGGAAGTTCTTGGAATACTTTCTGATGATGTAGAAACAGATTCTGTAGCACCAGGTGAAAACCTCAAAATCAGACTCAAAGGAATCGAAGAAGAAGAGATTCTTCCAGGATTCATACTTTGTGATCCTAATAACCTTTGTCATTCTGGACGCACGTTTGATGCCCAGGTAGATTACTTACTATAGTTGTTGTAGTGATGTTAAGAAGAGAAAGAGAAGTTAATTAGAATTTTAGTGTCTTTTGTCTTGAATATTTGTGACATGCCACTTAACCAATATTAGGAAAATTTATAGTAGGAGCCATTTATATATCACCATTATGATGTATATCTCAGTCTTCAAGATGATACAAGTACTTATTGAGTAGGGACTATTTTTTGTGAATGCCTATTTTTGATCAATTGATCAAAATGTAACTAATATTCACTTTGTAAAACAGATACTAGTAGTGATTTATCATTACTTACATTTTGTTTAGTGTCATTCACTTTGACTAGAGCTCAGTTGCCTTGGAAGTTGTGGTTTAACTGCTCATTCATGGCAAATAACTTAGCAGATATGAATCACACACACATTTTCTCCATGTCAGTAGCAACCTGAGCTCCCTGGAGAATGAAAGTGAATAGTTGGTGTGGTTAACAGAAGTTTTGAATACTACTAATAAAGTATGATGACTAATCAGGTTAGATTTGATGTCAGATATATAAGGTTGTTTACTTTTAGTGGATGTTGGTTATTGAGAAGTGGGTAAAGTTATGGCAAGTTCACATCTAGGTAGCTTGTGAGTGGTGGTAATGATTAAAGTTTACCAGGCACTTGCCATTTTTAGTAGAATAGGATACTGAAATTCATGCTTTGAAATTAGGCAATCTAACTCACCTTGTGAACAAGGTTAATAAGAAAGAATTCATCTTTTCCTTATTTGGCAGATAGTGATTATAGAGCACAAATCCATCATCTGCCCGGGGTATAATGCAGTGCTGCATATTCATACCTGTATTGAGGAAGTCGAAATAACAGTGAGTTTATTTTAAACTAATTGGTTTGTTTATTTACTGACTTATTTTAATTTATTATCTTGCTAGGTGTTGTGGTGCAAGCCTATAATCCTAGCAGCTTGGGAGGTTGAGGCAGGAGGATCATGATTTTGAGGACAGCCTCAGCAACTTAGTGGACTGAGTCAAAATAAAAAGGGCTGGGATGTGACTCAGTGGTTAAGCACCCCTGTTTTGATCCCTGGTACCAAAAAAAAAAAAAAAGAGATTGTTTTATCTTAAAAGTTTCTAATGGGCAATTATGATACATTTTTATTTGTACTCCTAAAAGTTGCTTATATTTGGTGTTTTTCTGATTTTCTTATCTTTTCTTGGATAGGCCTTAATCTGCTTGGTAGACAAAAAATCAGGGGAAAAAAGTAAGACTCGACCCCGTTTTGTGAAACAAGATCAAGTATGCATCGCCCGCTTAAGGACAGCAGGAACCATCTGCCTTGAGACCTTTAAAGACTTCCCTCAAATGGGTCGTTTTACTTTAAGAGATGAGGGTAAGTCCTGCTAAGTTGATTTCTAGGATGCCTAGCAAAGTCCACATTGCAACAGGTTCAAAGGAAATGCAGATTTATGTTCCATAATATTTGTCGAATAAATGTTGAGTTGAATATATTGAACAACAAACAGAATTGACCATACTGTATATGAAGTAAAACCTTTAATTTTGATATTTTGTTATTAGAGGGTTTTTAAGGTAATTAAATTTACTAAATGATTTCTTTTTTTTTAACCATACGATTTATTTTTATTTTTTTTTAGTCATACAGGACAGCAGAATATTTTGACATATAATACATACATGGAATGTACATACATCAATCATATTGTCTATTCTGCTGCCCTTCCTATCCCCCTTATTCCTCCCCTCCTCTCCCATCCTTTCTCTATCCAATCTAATGCGACACTTTTTTTTTCTTTTTCTCATCACATCGTATATGTATTCTGCATAACAGTGAGGTTCTCCTTCCATCTTCCGTGCAACTCCCCTTCTCCCTCTTTTTCCCTCCCACCTCTCTTCCCTATTTAATGGTAGTCTTCTTCTCATGCTCTTCCTCCCTATCCCATTTTCAGTCACCCCCCTTATATCAAAGAAGACATTCGGCATTTGTTTTTTAGGGATTGGCTAACTTCACTTAGCATAATCTGCTCTAATTCCATCCATTTGCCTGCAAATGCCATGATTTTGTTATTTTTTAGTGCTGAGTAATATTCCCTTGTGAATAAATGCCATATTTTTTAATCCATTCATCTATTGAAGGGCATTACTAAATGATTTCTATAATGAAAATACAGGCGGGTTAGGGATACAGTTCAGTTGGTAGAGTGCTTGCGTCACAAGCACAAGGCCATCCCCAGAAAAAAAAAGAAATAAAATACAGGCGTATTCATGGCTTTTTCTTTTTTAAAAAAGTACATAGTTTTCCAGAGGTGTGATACTGATCTCCTTTTGTGTGCATCCATTTCTGTCAACCTCTGAGTGATAAAGAACAGTTGTAATTTTCCTTTCAGGTTCATGAAATTCTTTGATGTGAAAACAGATTTAGCTGGGCATGGTGGTACACTTCTGTAATCCCAGCAATTTGGGAGGCTGAGGCAGGAGGATCACAAGTTTGAGGAGTTTTAGGTCACCTTCAGCAACTAAGTGAGACCTTGTGTCAGTATAAAAAATAAAAGATCCAGAATGACTGTTATGAAACTTTTCTTTGTGGGTTGTTAATATTTCTCACTTAGATAAAACTATTTTAAGGTTAGAAAAATTTACATAAAACTCCATGTTCCAGTTGAAATATATAATATTCACATGGTAATTCCAATCCATTCAGCAAAAACTTACTTGAATATCTACTAAGTGTTAAGAACTATGTGAAGCCAGGGTGATGAATACAGTCACTGAACCTTATTTTAGAGAAAACAGTAAAGACAGTGTTTCTTTTACTTTAAATTTCTTATCTTGAAAATCTTGGCAATAGTGAAATTGGATTTTGGCTTAGCTTAGTAATTGTGTTAGTTTATAGTCAGTACCTGATAATCAGGCAGATAGAAGAAAAAAAAATGTAACAAGGATTTTTATCCTAGAAATTTTTTTCCCCCTAAAAGATAACTTGGGTATTTATTTGTTTGTTTGTTTTTAAAGTTTTCATAATACCCCAGTGGTTCTGTATCCTTCTTTCAGTCCATAGGAATACTATTAGAAGAATGTTTTCATTGGATTGCAGGCTACATCTTTTCAGCTGCTAAGGATAGGCATTTTTTTCCTTAGAGCTTTAAATATAATTTCTGCATGAAATTGACCTGTTTTAATTTTAAGTGCATAACTTAGTGGATTTAGTGTTCTTACAGAGTTGTATGACCATTATCACATTCTAGTTTTAGTACACTTAGGACACCTAAAAAGAAGCCTTAAGCCCCCCTTATTCCTACCCTTTAGCCCTAGACAACCACTGATCTATCTTTTATGTTTGTCTTTTTTGGATTTCCATGAAAGAATCATAAATATGTGGTCCTTTTATTAAACTCAGCAGGGTTTTGAGGTTCAGCCATGTTGATACATGTACTATAATTTATTTTTATTGCTCAATGATACTCCATTGTGTGGATAGGCCACATTTTGTTTATCCAAGGATAGTGAAAACCTATCTCTTTTCCAGCCCCCCAAATAAGACCTGCTTAATAAGATTATTTAACCTTAAACCAGCTTTGCTGATAAAGCCAGATAGTTAGTATTTAATACCATACATAGACGTGCTGTTAACTACTGAAAGTTTGTATTTTTTGTTTGTTTCTTTTTAATTTCATTTCTAGGTAAGACCATTGCAATTGGAAAAGTTCTGAAACTGGTTCCAGAGAAAGACTAAGCATTTTCTTGATGACCCTGCACAATACTGTGAGGAAAATTGACTGCAAAAGCCTACTTCACACCGCCTTCTCTTATTTTCTGCCCATTGATAAACTTCTTCCCATATTTTGCAAAGAGAAAATTCACAGCAAAAGTCCACATTATGTCAGCTTTCTCATATTGAGAGCTCTGCTATGCCACTGTGGAATTTATCCCCAAATCTCCCCCCTCCCCTTTCAAACTCTGCTTCCTTGGACAGATTTGGCAATAGCTTTGTAAGTGATGTGGACATAATTGCCTACAATAATGAAAACCTACAGGAATTTTTTATTTTTCATTTTCCCCTTAGGCATAGTCTTTTTTCCCCAGGCAGATCATTCTGAGTGTGCGAGTGTGTGTGCACATGTTACAAAGACAACTACCATGTTAATAAAATATTCCATTTGAAACCCTTTTCGGTATTTGAATTGCTTTTGAATAATGTTTTTTATCTAGATGTAACATTGTTGCATTAGCTTTTTAACTTTCCCAAGTAATTGAATACATTTTTATTACTTGGACTTTTCTAAACTCTTTCCCTAATCACTACTCTAAATGAGGCATTTACAAACAATGTTCAAGTTTGTATTAAAAGAATTAGTTGGATGGACCCCTTCTTTTGATGGTTAATGCATACATATCGTTACACACCTCTATGAAACTGTGACCCTGCTTTACTAATTAGGTCTATCAGTTACTTTCTGCCGATTTATATTTTAAACAGTGAGTTCTTTTTTAAAATAAAAGAACAGCATACTGTTGTTTTGTAAGTAAAACTTAATGAAATTGTGCCCCTACAGAAAATTCCATTAACTGGTTAAATTAGTGGAATTTACAATAAAGAAAGCATGTTGAGACTTGGCAAAAATGCCTCTTTTAGTATTTATAAGAGCTGCATGCATCTAGTATGGAAACTATCGATTACAAGTGCCGGTTCTACAAGTTACTCAATTTACTCTTTGATTCAGTAACTCTGAAGGTTGGAAGATCCTTGCTGGTTAATGCTAGATCCCAATCCAGCAACTCAGTGAACACATACATACATAATCTGCACAGACTAAAATTAACAGTGATAAAATAGAATCAAGCACAGTATAAGTTTTATCTCAATTGTTTGAAAGTGTCTGAGTTTTCTTAAGCATAAAGCAAAAATCTGCTAACCATGACTTGGATGAACCACGATGTAGCATTGTGGCTTTTAGACTGAAGGCTGACTTTCTGCTACAATTATCATGACTTTGAAATTTTTCATGAGAATGAATGGGAAATGGAAGAGATAGTTTCTGGGTTTATCAGAGCCTCCTTCCTGTTGAATGAGTGTTCCATTTATCAAAGACAGTCTCTTTTACATTGTGATTTATCTCTAAATAAGATACTTTGTATTGTATGTTTAATAACGTTCTTTCCCTATAATCTTACTCCTCAGAAAAGAAAAGCCTAGTCAACTATTTCCAGTCATAAATCCTAAAATCTAATATTGTTAATTATGGACTTCCCATTCATGAAATGAATGACCACATCTTAGGGAAAGGGCAAAGTCATTGTCCTACAGCTTCTTCGAACAATACTTGTGGCTATAAATTGCATGAAATTTAAATTTTATCATGTCTGCAAATTTCTGGGCTTTTATTTTTCTGGGAAATATGGGACGTTTAATCAGAACATTCTTTTTGTACTTCCATGTTAATAAGGAGAAATACTAGCAGTTGCTTGGATTTTAATGAATCTTTACAAGTTCAAGAGTCATTGAAATTATTTCCAAAACTAGGTTTCTCTTTTTTAATTGAGCACATTTTTTTTTAAACCACTTACATTTGCTACTAAAACATTTACACTATTGGGATATTATGTGCATGTTGCCAAGACTCTTAAGTGAAATGTGAATGGGCCTACCTCTACAAAATAACAAACATAATTCTAAAGAATTTTCTTGGATTTAATCTTAACACGGTTGCGAGGTTAATCAACACCATACATTTTATGGGCTTTGAAATTCTTCAAGAAGTATTCCCAGTTTAAAGTTGATACATTTAAACCTGTGATTATACTGGCTAGTCACTTGAATAAGGAGATAATGTGTGTGATACAAACTTGCAGTGTGTGCAGATGTTGGATTTTTAAAGAGCAATACAAATTCCTATGCTGTCATTCTGTCTTCTGCAAGTGCAAAATGTTTATATGGTTGACAATGCAAAATAGGGTAACTGGCTGCATATTTAAGATATTACAGACCTAAACATTTCTTCCTCTATACTTAGCATTTATTCTCCATGATTTTGTTTGCATCTTTTTATATTAATGATCTTTATACAACTTTCATGCTAGATTATTTAATTATAGTCCTTTAAATTAATAAACTGAATTTTAAGAGATATCATTGTAGAAAACATCTAAGTAATCGCCATTTTAACCCTATATTTCTTATTGTGGAAGAAGGGAAAAGGTAACATTTCCTGT